GCACACTAAAGAAACATAATTAAATAATAAAAACTAACTTAATAAATAAATAAATTTATCATAAATTAAGATGGATAAAAGAATTAGAACTTTTTACCTTGATTCGTCAAAGAATTTGGTACTAAAATCATGTTACTATATGTCATGGTATAAAGATGATTGAACCATCAAACTAGTTTTACCATAATTTTTAGGAGACGGAACTAGGTCACTTTTTTTAGATGATATGCACCATCCACGGAATTTATCCGATGCAAAGGATCAAGAATATATTGCACGTCATCTCGGGAATACAACAAACTCGAGCAACCTTGTCGTGTCTTAACAAATTTGTACTATTTGTAAGACTTGAAACTCTAAATAAAATTAGCATCACTCTTACCCAAGCATATAACTAAAAAATTATATAGCTTTTTTTATTATTATTAAAGTGGGAGCATAAAAAATAGAAAAAATATTTTATTAGATGGTGCTGCACATTTTTCTCTCCTTAGCAAAGCATCTCTTGCACATGCAACTTGCCAAAAACTTGGCACACATATATATAACTCAAACAAAACAACCGTTTTTAATAATCAATTATTACAATTAAATTAAAAACGGTAAGTAAGTTAACTTAATTAAAAATAGAACTAGGTCGCTTTCTTAAGATGATACGTGCCATTCGTAAAATTTATTTAATGCAAAGGATCAATAATATATTATACGTTATCTCGGGGATACAACAAACTTAGCCACCTTACCGTATCTTAACAAATTTGCACTATTTGTAAGACTTGAAACTATAAATAAAACTAGCATCACTCTTACCCAAACATATTACTAAAAAACTATATGGCTTTTTTAAAAAATTAAAGTGGGAGTATAAAAATAGAAAAAATATTTTATTAGATGATGCTTGTACATTTTTCTCTCCTTAGCAAAACATGCAACTTGTCAAAAACTTGGCACACATATATAGCTCAAACAAAACAACCGTTTTTAATAATCAAATTATTACAATTAAATTAAAAATGGTAAGTAAGTTGACTTAATTAAAAAAAATGTTTTTTAATTTTTTAAAAATGAATTGGCCATTATGGAACTATTATCAAAACAGTTTTAAAAAACCTACAAATGTAATTAAAATGGCTGCCATAACTTTTAATGTTTTATTAAAAAATATTCCAACAATCTCAAACATCTTGGAAAAAATTATGATCGATAATTTATCATCACGAGAGAATTATGATAATTGATCTTGAATAACATAATAATTTTCTCAAACAAAATTTTAATGCAATAGCATTTTTTTATGCCCCCACCATTCATATAATAAATAATTTTCTTGTTACCACTATAGACAAAGTGATGAAATGCATTATTCTATTATCTTATAATCGGCATTCATAATTTATTCTTATGGCTAAACAATCAGCATGATATATATTTTTTAAATAAGATAATATATCAAAATTTTATTTTGACATAGAAAATAATATATGAAAAAATCCTTTATTAAATCATGGATCTTTATCTTACTAATAATCTGCTAACAAGATTATTATTTTAATAGTCGTTTATGTTGCCACAATCAAGTAAGGGTGTCAAACAATTTCAACATGACTTGCATAAAAATAATTGACACTCAAAATAAAAATTGATCTTAATTAAATTAACATGTGACCTTTTCAAGTCTTAATAAAAAAAATATGTGAACCAATATTAATTTAATAACAAAAATTTATAGGATTATTCACGAATTTGATATATAATTTTTATTATATGATTTAAAATCTATTAACTTGTTTATTAATAAATCAAATATGAATTTATTTTAATTCGGTTGGATAGTAATGTAATCCGAAATTAAAATAATATTATTTTCAATAAATAAAATATTGTGAAATTGAAAGAGACAAACCATAAAAAAAAAATATAGAGATAAAATCAAGAGAAAATAAAAAGAAATACCTGTGATTTTACCAAAAAAAAAAAAAAAATCAAAACACCCCTAATTAATTTCACTTCAAATCAATCCATATCATAAAAAATAAGTGTAGGCATGCCACAAACAAAAATCAATTTTACTTTGGAAAAATAAAATTAGGATAAAAGAGTTATAAAAAAAAATAAAAAGTTTAAGGATATAAAATGATGAAACGTTTAAGGACCATAATTAATTATATGGTAAACTAGATGATCGAAAAGTTTAGGGGTCAAATTGCATCTTGTTTGTTGCTCGCCAAAATGCATATCTTCCCCCTTTTTTTCACCAAAAAATATATCCACAGACTTCCAAACCTTCTACACTCGAATCAAATTTCAAAAATCATTTCTAAACAATTATTTTAGATTAAAATTTAATTTTATAACCCTTAGATCTAAAATTTTAAATCTTTATATCTCCTAATTTTAGTGATGAAATTGACTAACTTATATATCCATAAATTTTTTCTGAGAAACTTTTTTGTTTAATTGTATTTTTTTATTCGCATGAAAATCGAAATCTGTCAATATTGGTTGGATTTCACTTATAATTTTATCTTATTATTATTATTATGAGATAAAAACAGTCTGATAATTAGATTTGGAAACCATACTTAAAACTTATGTAACATAAAGCATATGTACTCTTAAAATTCATTTTTGAATTTGATGAAGGCGAAATTCTCTTCCTAGAATGATGAAGACATTTTAGCTGGACGCTTTTAACAAAAACCCATTAATTAAATTTGTGGTACCGTGTATTTAAGATAGCAAAATAAAAGGGAAAAGCCGCTGAAGTGATATCATATAAAATAGAGTAAATTATAATTTAGTCTTTTAGTTTTTTAAAAATTGATTAATTAGTCTTTTTTTTTTCAAAAATTAATTATTTGAACCTTGTTGATTATAATTAATTTAATATTATCTTATTTTAAAAAAATTCTTCTTTTCTTGTCAATCTTTTCATAATATTTATTTTTTTTAAAAAAAAAAAGCAAAACAAATTAGAGGTAGCATAAAATGAACAAAAAGGACTTAATAATAACACCAAATCAAGAGGGTCAAGCAAAACTAAATGGTCTCTTTGTCCTTTCCTTTTTCGAGTACCACCAAATCAAGAGAGTTACTAATATACGACTCATCATCCCAGGCTTATCTTGTTAGTTGTGTCGTGGTGTAGATACGCCAACGAGCCAGGACTTCAGCACTTCATCTGCCACTTCTTCAGTTTCTTCAAGTTGGTAAGCATTATTTATTTCTTTCAATCCCCAGTCAGTAATATATGATTTTTAACATATCCATTTCTATTTTATATATGATTTCTAGTTACATTACATGTATGGTTTCTTCAAGTTGGAGTGGTTCTAAGAAATATTGCAGAGTGTTGTTACTCTACACAATTCAAATAATCCCAAAGTGAGTTAAGTTTCCATAGTAAATGATAATGGAACATGCACCTTGTTCATGGTTACTGATGGCACGAGTGAGTTAAAAAATGAGGAAACACTCCTCCAAGTTTTTCTGTATCTCAAAAGCAGATGAATCATATAGAATGCTATCTGCTATATCTGCAGAAATCACGTTCAATGTCCATGATGCTGCCATTCACAAAACCATGTTTGTTCTTGGCATTTGAAGCACGAGAGACCAATTGTAATGGTCTCCTGTTAATGGTTTGTTCACAGGGTTGTTAATAGATCGGATTTTGATCAATAGAATATATGTTGATCAAAATTTTATCAATGTAATTAAATGAATTCTATAAATAATTTTTATTATATAATTTAAAATCTATTAACTTGTTTATTAATAAATTAAACATGAATTTATTTTGATTTGATCGTACACTATCTAATATGAAATTAAAAATAATATTATTTTCATAGATACAATATTTTACAAATTAAGAGTGAAATTAAAAGAAAAAAAATCAGAAAAAGATCATTGAAAGATGTGCAGTCATATACTACTATGATGACAAAACGAGAAAAAGGAATCTAAGCAGGTTTTGCTGTTATTTTTCTCTCCATTTCCTTTCAATTTTTAAAGAAAAATGAGTCTCATCATTTTTATATTATTTAATTTTTTTGTTTTCTTTCATCTGGTTTTCTCTACGATTCAAACGAGAAATTTTTTTTATTTTCATCGTATTTTCTTTCCTCTCTCTCGTTTTCATCCCTATCCAAACAGGGGGTAAATCACCTTCTCCTTGTTGTTCATTTTTAATCAAATTAAGCACGTTCGGTCATTGAGTTGTGGTGTATGCGGACGACGAAATCACTGCATCTCTGCCACTTCTGTGTTGGTAAGTAGTATATATTTCTTTCTTTCATGCTATTCTGAAAACATGATTTCAATTTACATGCAAAATACCGTTGTAGTTTGGAGTTGTATATCTTCTATACGATTTATGAATATAAGAATAAGTGATCGATAGATGGCTTGAGTTCATGATGCAGATAAGAATTTGCTGGTATGAAATACTTTCTTTTGAAAAGCATAGTAATTTCTGAATTTGCTGTTAAAATGTGTTTTATACGAATAATGTGAAAATCATGACTTCGTGATCAAATTATGATAATCAAATCATGTAGAAAAAAGGGCTCAGTTCCATTTATTTATAGCAAGATATATTTTCTGAATTACTGAATAATTACTGAATGATTTCTTGATTATTTACTCCTTGCCATCATTGGATTTCAGCTTTAAGAACCTTCAATTCTAGCCAGGAATTTAGCAGGAGGAAACTTTGAAATCAAGAAATGGCTGTAGAACCTGCATACCACATAGCAATGTACCCTTGGTTTGCGTTTGGTCACCTTACCCCATTTCTTCACCTTGCAAACAAACTAGCAAAGAAAGGCCACAAAATCTCCTTTCTTCTCCCTACCAAAACACAGTCCAAGTTACAACAATTCAACCTGCATCCTGATCTCATTACCTTCTTTCCAATTACTATTCCCCATGTGGATGGCCTCCCTCCTGGCGCGGAAACCACATCAGATGTACATTTCCCTTCTTTCACGCATATCATGACTGCCATGGACCGTACCGAGAGTGCTATTGAAGTATTACTCCGGGATTTAAAACCCAATATTGTCTTATTTGATTTCACCTACTGGATGCCAAGACTGGCTTCCCGCTTAGGTATTAAGTCCATGTACTACTGTGTTGTCAGCTCGGTAACTATTGGATATATTATGTCTCCGGCTAGAAGAGAAAGTGGGAACAACTTAACTGAAGCTGACCTTATGCAGCCACCCTTAGGCTTCCCAGACTCGCAGATCAAGCTCAAATCTCATGAGGCACGAGGATACATTACAAGAAGAGTTATGAAGTTTGGTAGCGATGTCATGTTCTGCGATCGCATATATTTGGGAATGAGCCAATGTGATGCACTTGGATTCAGAACATGCCGAGAAATTGAAGGACCTTATCCTGACTATGTTGGAAACCAGTTTGGCAAGCCTGTTTTGCTTTCAGGACCAGTTATACCAGAGCCAAACCCCTCAACTTTAGACGAGAAGTGGTCCGAGTGGTTTGGAGAATTCAAGGCCAATTCTGTGATATACTGTGCATTTGGAAGTGAATGCACTTTGGAGAAGGATCAATTCGAAGAGTTGCTCTTAGGTTTGGAGCTTACTGGTATCCCATTCTTGGCAGTTCTGAGACCACCTGCAGGTTACGAGTCCATTGAACTCGCATTGCCTGAGGGTTTTCAAGAGAGGATCCGTGGAAGAGGTATAGTCCATGTAGGATGGGTTCAACAACAGTTGATTCTGGAGCATCCATCTGTTGGGTGCTTCATTACTCATTGTGGCTCAGGTTCCTTATCCGAGGCATTGATAAATAAATGTCAGCTGGTTCTGCTACCACATGTAGGGGACCATATATTCCAAGCAAGAACAATGAGCTTGCATTTGAAGGTTGGAGTGGAAGTTGAGAAAGGAGAAGAAGATGGGTTGTTCACCAAGGAAACTGTCTTTAAGGCTGTAAGGACTGCAATGGATGAAGACAGTGAAGTTGGCAGGGTTGTTCAGGCCAACCGTGCGGCACTGAGAGAGTTATTGAGCAGCAAGAGTCTGGAGTCCTCTTATATTGACAGTTTCAATGAACAGCTTCAAGTTCTTCTCGGCTGATTGCTATTTCGGTGGCTGTATCAACTTTAAACTCGTATTGTACCTACAATTGTAATGGATTTGATGAGTTCTTAAAGGCCATCCCTGCTTCCTGGTTTAACCAATGAAAGAATAAGGCAGGTGTGGTTGTTTTATTTAACCTGTCCAACCTTTGAAACAACTGGAATGAGGAAAATACGTACACTACGATTTCAGAAAGAAGCAATATTTCAGAGTCGTATTTCTGCAACTTGATTTAAGTTCGAGTATTGTTTTGAATATATGAATAAGTGATGGCTCTGGTTCATGCAAAATGAGATCAAATTTGATGGTATGATACATGTTAAGAAGAATGAACCCAATGATTTTGAATATGTGCTACAGTGTTATTTCTCACTCACTTACATATATACAAGAGGAGGTTTTATCCTCTGCTTCTCACTAGTACCTAACTAGGCTAACTAACTAACCACCTACTAACAACCAATTAATTAATTTAATTATCTATACTCTAAATACTTCCCCCTCAAGTTGGTGGTTTATGGACATCATAAACTCTCAACTTGGAAAGAAGAGAATGATGTTGTTTACTGCCAAGAGGTTTAGTAAAAATGTCACGTAACTTGGTGAGCCATGGGAACATGAATCGGCTTGATCAACTCAAACTTTAACTTCTCACGAACCAAGTGACGAGTTGATATCTATATGCTTAGTCCTCTTATGGAAGACAGGATTAGAGGCAATGTGTAGGGCAATCTTGTTATCACAATGAAGCTTTGTTGCATCCAAACTTGTGATGCCAAGGTCTTGCAGAGCAAACCAACAATCCGGACGACTTCACATTTGGCGGTAGCCATCGCCCTATACTCGACCTCAGCAAAAGAAAGAGAGACGAGTATTTTGCTTCTTAGTTTTCCATGACAATAAAGAGGAACCAAGAAACACAAAAAAATCAGTAAGGGATTTCCTTGTCATAGGACAAGAAGCCCGATCCGAATCACAAAACACACTCAACTTTAACCGACTAGAAGAATCAAGCAAGACAACCTAGCCAGGATTACCTTTAAGATATCTCGGGACTCTTAGAGCAGAAGCCATATGCGAAGCTTTAGGTTGATGCATAAATTGGCTTAGAATTTAAATGGCATCGCAAATGTCGAGCCCGGTGACAATGAGATAAATGAGCTTGCCTACCAACCTCCGATATTCGGATGGATCCGTGAGAAGAGGATCGGAGATAATAGGATCCACCAATTGATTATACTCGCTGTAGTCAATTTTAAATTCTATTCAAGATGAATCTCTACCGGTTTGGAACCAAGTAAGCCAAGCATCATGTAAGAGCTCCGCAGTTTATTTGTGTTGATTAAGGCAAATACCCCGCTTAGACCATGCTACCTCGATTCCGAAAAAGAATTTCATATAACCAAGGTCTTTAATGTGAAAAGTCCGATGCAAAAACATCTTCAATTCCGTGATACCTTTTGCATCATCACCGATTATGAGTATATCATCGACATAAACCAACAAAACAACCATTCCGTCATGCTTGCTCTTGATAAACATAGAATAGTCATGAGGGACCGAAAAAACCGAAGCCATCATTTTTTCGGTGAACTTGGAATTCCATTGTCGAGAGGCTTGTTTTAAGCCATAGAGTGACTTAAGTAATCGACAAACTAAACCCTCCTCCTTACTCGCCAAAACTAGAAGGTATAGACATGTAGACTTCTTCATGAAGATCACCTTGCAAGAAGGCATTGGTTACATCTAATTGATGTAAAGACCATTCATGTATCACGACCAAAGCAACAACGATTCGCACAGTAACCATTCTTGGCAACGCATAAACCACCTACGGGTTATGAGTCCATTGAACCCGCATTGCTAGAGGATTTTCAAGGAGGATCCATGGAAGAGGTATAATTCAAGGGAGATGGGTTCAACAACAGCTGTTTTTGGAGCATCCATCGGTTGGATATTCATTGCACATTGTGGCTCGGGTTCCTTGTCCGAGGCATTAATAAATAAATATTAGCTGGTTCCGCTCCCACATGTAGGGAGCCCGATATTGAATGCACTACACCAAAAACGGGTATTCTAGGCGGTTTTTTATCTTGTAGAGGCGGTTATAACCGCCTCTACAAATTATAGAAGCGGTTTCTCGGATCACCCCAAAACCGCCCGCAATGCCGTCGTCTTTACGATGTAGCGACGATTTTGCCAACCGCCCGGTATTTTTAAGACGATCGGTAGAGGCGATTACAACCGCCTCTACATTTTTCTCCGAGGCGGTTCCAAGCGCCCCTACAAATGCTTTTTCGAGGCACATGAAACCGCCCTACTACCTAATCTTGAGGCGGTTGAAACCGCCCTACAAATCCTAATCGTGGGGCGGTTGCAACCGCCTCTAAAAAATCCATCACGTGAGTAATTTTTGCGGCAGTTGCAAACCACCTCTACGATAGCGAAATTTATAAAATTGACGAAAAATAGTAGGGGCGGTTCAAACCGCCACACGTGATGGATTTTGTAGAGGCGGTTGAAACCGCCTCACGATTAGGATTTGTAGGGGCGGTTTCATGTGCCTCAAGAAAGCATTTGTAGAACCGCCCCAAAATAAATAATTTATAAAATTAATTTCAGAATTCATAGAAGCAGATTTTATAATTTATAAAGATGGTTATTTACCTTTCACCTTCAAATTCAATTATTGAATGTAAAAAAATTAAAATTATATAGATACCACAATATTCTTAAATTTATAATTATCAAATTCTAAATACATAATAAGTAGTCAAACTTTTACAATTAAAAAAAAACTAAAGAAAAAGTCTTCAAACGTTTGCAATATTCTTAAATACTTGTTCAAAATACATAAACAAAATTCTAAATATATCTAGAAATAAGTGACTAATGTTTCATTTCGGCAAATGACTCGATTGTGATGAAGGATTAGGAGAAGGAGCATTTTGACCATTACCATCATTGCGAACCTATCAAGAACACAATTTCAAAGTAAAATATATATATATATATATAAACTAAGTAAAAATATTTTAAGATAAAAAAAATTAAAAATTTATAATACCCGAGTAGGATTCAATGAAGTAGGTATTAAATTCCGATCGGGATATCTCTCCGTAATGAAAGCAGAATGACGAGTTAATGTCGCATTTATTGCATTATATCTAGATTCCATTGCATCATACTTGGTTTGCATATTATGCAACTCGCTCTTTCATTTCTTCTACTTCACTTGATTGATTTGTAAATGCACCACCTTGACCACTTTCAAGTTGAGATTGTATATCAAAGAAAAGTGTTGGTATTGGACCCAAGCATAATCCTCTAACTCTACCATTGTATTCTTTACCCATAACTTCTTGAAAAATCTCTTTATTTATATCATTAACACTAGCGGTTGAGGAACCTTCATAACACTCAGCTTGGAGAGAACGAGCCTTTTCCTATAAATTTCAAGACAAGTACATTAAAAAAAATGAATAATGAAATATCATTCATCAACAATAAATAAATAACAATAAAATGATAGTACCATTTTTAGCCTACCATTGTCATCCACAAATGTGCCATCCATTTTCTTATGAGTAGCTTCATACAATGTCAACCTATCGAGTTCCTTTCCATCCCTTTCTTCCTACAAACAATTATACATATTTAATCTTATTTCATACATAAATAATATTTAAATGAAAATTTATAAATTATTAAAATTACCATTTCTCTTCTTTTCCTTGCACAACTTTTTCTCGCCTAATGTATGTGCACATTTATTTTTGTTAGCATTTACGGTATTTACCTCACTTGCTTTCTACATTAAAAAAAAAACACATTTGATTATAAATCATACAAATAGGTAAAAGAAAGCAACTTACAATATGAAATAATTTCAAACCCGGCTTTCGGATTAAACCATCTATTTACCAAAGTAGACCATTGATCTATCAAGACACCATGAGGCAATTCTTTAGAGGCAATGATCTTCTCCGTCGTTTTACTAGGATAAAAAACTCAGCTTTCAAGTCACTTTTGAAATCCCTCCACTTCTTGTTTAACGATGCCAAAATCCATTTCTTTGCAATATCGGGAAAGTCAAACTTCTCCTATTAAACATGTAAAAAAATATATTTTTTAATTTCTTGATAGAGAACTTCACCATATATATATATATATATATATATATATATCCAATTTATGATGTAAGTGATAAATGAAACTCTCTAAATTCAAAATCAAAATACCAACTCATCATATGAAATTAAGAGAATTTAAAAGTAGTAAAAAAGTAATAGCAACTTAAGAGAATTTACCTTCACAAGTTTTATAAGGTTGTTCTTGAATACACCAAACTCCTTATAATCCCATCATGGGATGCTCAAAGGTGCATGAATTCCTTTTTTTACTAATATTCCAAGGTAAGAACCAAGAGCAAGCACCTTCTTTTGTACATGGAGCTCCATATTTGTCAACTTCTATGACAATACGTTCTCCATCTTCTAAATGGTTCCAAAAATCTATCATTGAAGCTCGACCTCTCCTTTTAATATATTTTCCCTCCTTATCTATTTTTCATTATAATTTTGAAATTTAAGATAGAATCAGAAGCATATAAACCAAAATATAAAATAATTAAAATCTCATCAATAATTTTAACCGTGTCGAAATCATCATCCCGAGCTTCTTGAACATGATGTGAACAATTTGTCGAAGATGTCCGACTTTGAATTCGTGCTTGTTCTTGCATAGGTTGTGAACTATAAGAAGATGTAGGACTTTGAAAAATAGGTCTGGTCGGATTGAGATTCATCCCTAACAATTCTTAATCCACGCAAAGTCTTAGATCCTCGAACCATGTCTAAAACTACAAGATATCACTTGATATTAAAATTACGAATCAACATAAGATCAATGAAAATTAAAACATACCAAAGTATAATCACCAATGCATAACTAGGATAAAAATAAAATAAAAATTAATAAACAAAAATAACTTAAAT